CGTAGGAGGGGGGTTGGTGCGTCGAGACGTAACAGCTCAATGACGGGCCGGCAACGGGGTTTTTGATATAGGGGAGACAGAGGGTAGCATGGCGACACACACACCTGACGCGATACCCCTATTCCGCGACTCAGACGACGAGCTCAGCGTTAGCAGGCCGTCCCCCAGCACCCAACAGGACGCACCAGTTGGTACTTCACGTGACACATGGCGCAGAGGTCGGTAGACATGACGACTCCATTCGCGCACGTCACGACAATTACTAATTTATTCTTTTACACAGAGGAGAACCCGGTTCGGCACCTGTACTCACGAGCAACCCAGCGAGTAACCACGATACCAACTATCAAACCAAAAATACATATGGGGCGTCCCCAGGCTGTGGGTACAGCAGGTAGTAAGGGGGCGCCGTAGCACGAAGTCGCCATCCAGTCGCCTCTTGTGGGAGTCCTCATGCCTCAGCGGACTTTACAAAAAACAACAGTCAGTTGGGGCTATCAGAGCGATAGATTACCTACTTGGACTGCCTGGAGAAACAGAAACACAGTCATAGTCATTTCGTCTGCCCCCACAACATGGAGTGAGCCACCCCAGTGACGATTGGCCACGCGACACTTGGCAAGAAAAATAGTCGGTAGAAATTCGGAGGAGGCTGGCATCACTCCGTGCGTGCCAACGAACGTGAAAGTCAGGACTTTCGTTCGTGAAGCCCATGGTCAGGTCAGTGGAGAGGGCGGGGGCGGGGATGACAATTGACGGTTCTAAGAAAGTAGGTTGCAAGTAGGAGCTAGGCGACGCCGCATGTTGCTTGCCATAAGGACCGATTCTCTCTTGGTAATTAGCACGAAGACCATGACAAAAATTTGGAGTCGATCTCCTCGCAAAAGTCCTGGGGCAAAACTCCTTATTGATTCCAAGCAATCCACATGGAGAGAACGGGTGTGGGAGTTGGAGGGAACCTTAACACGTGGAGGGTATGGGAGTTGGTGGGAACCTTGACACGTCTAAGGGATCATCCGATCTTGCTCTCACAAGACTAGTTGGACACGATTCCCACACTGACGAATGACGATTCGTTTCATCAATGCATCGCGAGGCTGCTTCAACGACCGGGGGAGACCTCCGGGGGCTTGTCCGCCGGAACTTGTGTCCCGAAAAGTCGTGTTCCGGGGCCTCGTCTCCCGATCGGATGGTACTCACGTACGTTCTTGCAGCCACGGCAAACGGATCGTAACACACGCGTGTACCTAATTGCCTGAACCCGCGTTGGCGGGGAAGGTCAGGCTAAGTGATTGGTCGGCGCTGATAACATCACATGTCACCCGGCTCAACGTCGTCCTAACATGGTCCAACGTTTTCCGAAACATTTGCCGGGCAAGATGCGTCAGGAAGACTCTAGTCTTACAGCGTGGGGGCGCCTACATTCCAAAACAGCTAACTATAGTAGAGGGGAAGGGACAGAATAATACAATACAGTAGGAAGACCAGCCCCAAAGGGCCTTTTAATCCGTCTCGTCTAGGAAGAATCGAGCTAACCAAGGTTCCATCCTAAACGCAGATCTACGACAGAGAACCTGATATCGGCCTATGGTCTCCGCCTTTGGGTCGCGTAATAGCTCAGTGAAAGTGGTCACGACCTGGCCGTGAAGGTGGTCTCTGTCTGAAGGTGATGGTGTTGCCCAACGGCCTTCCCAACGGCCTGCCCAACGGCCTGCCCGTGATTTTACTCCAGGTCAAAATGTAAGCGAATTGATACTTGAATTAACGCAGACTTCTTGACGGTCTTCCATAAGAGTCCGCTCTATCGGGAGGCCCAAAGTGGCGTAGAGCAAAGACACGCTTGGCAGACACGTTTGGCAAAGACACGTTTGGCCAACACACGTTTGGCCCGCCGTCGTGACGGCAGCCGGCTCGGCCGAGGTCGGCTGCGACGGTCGGAACTTGGGGCGACTCAAAGTGCTCTCGAGACGCGCAGGTTGAGGCGCGCGAGCGACTGACAGGACTGGCTGGCGGTGGCGTGAGAGTCGGAATGTGTGTTAGAGTGTGCGTGCATGCCTGGGCGATGTTGTAGGGCGTCGAGCGAACCGGCGACGCCGCTATGTTGGCTGCTGTTGGTACTGCAGCCTGTGTCGACGCTGCTGGCGAGGCTACCGCAGCTTGAGCGGCATTCGAACCGCCGACTGTCCGGACGCCGCGGGTCCGGGCGGTGGTGGTTGTCCAAACGCCTATTGTTTTCCACACGACGACTGTCTTGACGCAGGAACAAGTAGGCCGCAGTCGCCCGAGCACGACGCCGAGCCGCCTTAAACTCACTCATGCGACAGTCCTGATGCGGCGCACTTGTGTTCTGCGCAAAACCGAAATCGGGATACTGTGCCAGTAACCGTTTCGTCTTGCAGTCCAAAGCCGCCACCGCCGCCGGCGACTGCTGTTCCGGTGTTGTTTGTAGACAACTCCAGCTCAGCGAAATCTCCGGGTGTACAAATGTGTGTTCGGGAACGTCCGACATAAACTTTTAATTACCAATAGGTAGGCAAGCGCCCGCCCGAGGGAGGGCATGACTGGGTTCGGCGGGAGAGAGGGCACGGTCGCTTTACATTGCGCAACACGGCGAGGTGCAGCAAGCATGCGTGTGGCTTCTGCATGGGTGGTGCTGCACTGTAGTGGACTCGGGATCCAACCAAATGAGGTTATGGCAGTTGACGAGGCGCAACCGGACCCGCCCAAGTCGGATCCGACTATGTGGAACCCGCCCAAGTCCCAGTCGGAGTCCCAGTCAAAGTCCCAACCAGAGTCCCGACCGGGAGATGACACGGATGCTGAGTTGCTTGGGAGGTTTCGAGGACTGCTTAAGTCGCTGCAGGGTTTCTGCGAGTTGAGCGGGATGAAGGCCCCGGCGGCGGCGGTACCCCTAGCACTTGTGGAGGTCTCTTGTCCGGACCGGTACGTGATCTCGCAGGAGACCGCGACCTCGTCCGCCTTTGCGGTGCGTCCACTAGCTGCCGACTTCCCACTTCCGCCGCAACGTCGAAGCGCGTACCGACTTATCGAACACGCCGGGCAAGGCATCGCTGCTGCCGCCGTCGGACGTATTATGTACGCGGCGCGACAGATGCTTGCCGACATGGCGGCGCCGAGCCACGAACCACGAGAAGACATCTGGGAGACGGCACCGACGCCTGCCGTCCCCACGACATTTGCCGTCCCCGCGAAAGAGACTGAAGGGGATGGGAGTGGCGCCGAAAGAGAAAAGCTCATCGCGGAGGGGGTGAACCAACACGGGGGACCTGACAAAAGGGACTGGAAGGGCGAACCAAGCCAAAGACATGAGACTCTCGTCGAGGGAGACAGCGGAGAGCATGCGCCTGCCGCCGAGGGAGATAGTGAAGAGAGCAGTCAGAGGGAAGAGCGTGACGCTGTCGCACAGGGGGATATCCAACATAAAGGTCCTGAAGAGGGAGAGGCTGGCGCCAAAGCCGGCAGTGGAAGCGAGCAGAGCGAAGAGCATGAGGCTGTCGCTGAGGTAGATAGTGAGGAGAGTGAGCAGAACGAAGAAAATGAAACCATCGCCACAGCAAGTAGTGAAGAGAGCAGTCAGAGCGAAGAGCGTGAGCCTGTGGCGGAGGGGGGAAGCGATGTGCGTGCGGCCGAGTCGGCGGCCGAATCGGCGGCCAAATCGACGGCCGAATCGAAGGCCGAATCGGCGGCCGAATCGAAGGCCGAATCGGCGGCCGAATCGAAGGCCGAGTCTGAAGGGGCGGCGTGGGGGGAGCTGAAGGAAATACTCGGCGGGTTGTTCAACCTGTTCAACAATCAAGCAGGGTGTGAACTCAAGCCTGCGACGCGTCGAAGTGTACTGCAAGTGGACTTGTTACCGGAGGTGTGTCCGACGTTGACGGCAAAGGTCCGCGCGGTACCGGACCCTGGACGCATCTACATGCTGGAGTTCCTCACTAACTGGTCTCTCTCGCTGCTGCAAAGCGAGCCGCCTGTGGAGCTCTATCACAACTGTTTCGCACCCAAGGACGATGATAGTCAGTGGACACCGGACTCAGATCATGTAGCGCTGGCCCTGGCGGGGTCGGACTTAGATGCGTTTCCAATACACCCTGTGCTGCGCAGTGTGCGTGATCGACTTGTGTCGCGCGTACAAACGCTCGCCCGCTACATTTCCCCTAGTCCGGACGAGTCGCTGACCTGGTGGGCTCACACACTCGCCCACCTCCGCCAAAAACAACCCATTATGACCGACCGGATTTGCAAAACAAGGACGCAGCTGGTTCGGGAAATTAGGCAGCGAAATAACGTGTCCCGCATCACTGAGGCAAACGACGACGGGAATGCCAACCATGAACCCGTCATTGAAAAGGTTCTCACCGACAACAGTTCCAACGACCACCGACTTGGGGGGGAAACGGGTCAGCCAAGAGATGGTCCAGACATGGATGAAGTGCCCGAGGAAAACGAACCCATGTTACAGGCCAGGTCAAGCCGTGCGGTAAGACCGGACCCGCGACTTTTCTCCAGACAGAACTCTCTGGTTGCAGACACATACTATCCTGAATGGCCGGGAACCCCCGGCTCGTCAGCTAGTGAGCCTCCCATTGAGGATGAAGACTCTGAAGTAGACGAATCGGCGGTGGCCGACGGACCGGCAGGTTACGATCCTATTGTCGAGGAACCGCGGGACGTGGAAGATGTGGACGTGGAAGATGTGGACGAGGGAGATGTGGACGAGGGAGATGTGTGTGCCATGAGGCAATCATCCGAGCAAGACGTCACGAGGGAGAGTGTCCCGACGGATGCGTCGGAAGCGGCAGTTGCGGCGTTTGAAGGAGTGGGTTGTGACGACGGGTCTGGTCTATACATGTTCTGGAAGACAGTGTTTGATGACGAGGACCTTTACCTACGTTGGCTTGCAACGGACGGGTTGCCTTACCTCGCGCGCCAGATCCTGAAGTACAACCATCAAGGTATCGCCTGCGAGCTAGATATGTTGCTCAACGGTGTGACCCAGTCGTGGTGCTCACCGGCGCTGCACTATCACGCCCGGCGGCAAGTCCTGCGCCTGTCCGCGGACCACCCGGCGTTGGCTTGGCTAAGTTCCGGCCGAGAGGGTCAGGGAGATGTCGATGAGCAAGGCGAAGTCGATAAACAAGAAAAGGTCGACAACGCACGGCCGTCTGTTGCTCTCGACCCCATTACCACCAGTAACACCAAAATCAATGGCACTAGGGCGGGGGAGCAGGATCAGATCAACGATCCAGACCCAAGCATGGCCCGAGGGGGTAGTGCTGACGACGAGGGCGATGAAGAGGAGGAATCGGATACCGATGAAGACGACTTCATGCTGGACCATTTTTTCGTGTGACTGAGCACATGACAGGGTCGGTTATGTAGACCTTATACAGACCGGTTATAGATGGTTGTAGACCCCACATAGATGACCCCGCAGTGTTAATATTTTATGGAGGGACTTCGAGAAGTGGTGGCTTTGAAAGTTTCAAGTGAGTGGGGTGCACGGAGCTAACGATTTGTGAAGGTAGACAGAGAGCGTGGTTACCACAAACCAGAAGCTTGGTTACTAGAGGCTTTAGATCAGATGGGTGACTGTTCGGATTTCGTGGAAACGACGGCGAAGGCGGAGTACCTGTTCAATGCTCAAAATCCCATCGAAGGAGTCTATATATTCTTCGGCGACAAAGTAACGCGTAAGTAAAATGGACACAGGTGGATCTGAGGTTTGTCTTTATTTCGCACGTGTATCTTGTGTCTATCTTCGTGTGTGTATTTCGCACGTGTGTTTAAACGCTTCGACGTTTGCAGAGTGGGAGGTAATTATGTTCTTGGAGGCTGGTTATTTGCATGATCTATGTGTGGAATTCACAATATCGTTCCCGATGAATTACCCTGACCAGCCTGTTGAGGTTATATTCCATCATGACATAGTGCATCCGCACATTGCGGGTAAAAAGTTATCGAGATTCGGCGACTGTGATCATCAATCCACGGATGATAGTGGGCATTTCTACGTTCGGGATTTGATTGATTGGAACGCTGTTGAGCACTCTACTCTGCACGTGTTGGCTGCGATTAAGAGTATGTTATTCCAGCCTTTAGAACAGCCCAAAATTTTAACGGAGAAATCTAAAGGTGTACGGAATAGAAAGGCACTTGAAGAACTACTTAAAGGGCAAGGCTGTCTGCAGTTGTGGAGAGAACGGTATATCCGATCACAGATTAATGTGAGTAATAAAACCCGGCTCTCTTCGCGACAAGATTCGGCTCGTGCGCCTTACGACTCACCCGACGCCGATAAAGGTCGTAATACACTCAGCAACAAGTTCGGTAGCAGCAGTCTGGAAGGCGGTATGTATGTGAACAAGAGAAGGTCCTCCATAGGCACTGTAGAGAAGCCATCCGTTGATCTCGTGGTCCCTGCATCTCTTAAACCGTACATTGCAGACGCACTCAATCTGGAGGAAATCAGTGCACAAATTGATACACATGTTAACATCATGCTAAAAAGACTTCAGGCAGACGAAAAAGTGGGCCTTTTCCATATCGTCAACGAGAGAGTTGATGTTATACATTCAGATCTACAAGCGCTCCTAAAATGGTAACCCTCCTAATAGCATACTGACCCTACCCTCCCAATGATGGATGCCCTGTCCCTCCTGGTGGCCTGTCCCTCCTGGTGGCCTGTCCCTCCTGGTGGCGTCATGTTAGTAACGCCGTCTTGATCTGAATTCATCAATTGATTGCATTGAGTTCAAGAAGCTAAAGTAAAAATTGGACTTTAAAAAAAAATCTCAGTGCGGCTTGTCCAGCGCGCGCGCTAGTCACCGACAGATGAATAGGTTCATGGCGTTAAGTCTATCTAGTACGTCAATGAATTTCATTTCCAGCGATCCGATCTGTAAGATCGCTTTGTTCACTAATTCGGTTTGGTATTCGTTCAGTGAGAGCTTGGCCAGTTCTAGCTTCTCACGTATTTGCGGGAACTCGTATTTGGCCATCGCTAAGCGGAACTCCAAATCCTTTGGCATTCGTATACTAACAGGTTCTCGGGACGCCGCAGCCGAGGAAGAATCCCAGCCGGCTGTTTTGCTGCGTTCCCCGACGTCACTGGCTGCTTCTGTGCAAGCCCTGGTCCCCACCGTCGGGATATCCATCCCGGTTAGAAACTGGTTAATTTCCATCGATCGCTCGAAAAGTGTGTGCATACCGCTCGATCGGGCTACAGTTTATATGTTTTCCTAACTGAAAAACGCCATCCGCAACCGTCGCCAAGCCTTGCTGCGCCAAGACTTCTTCTTGGCCGCCATCGGCTCCTTAAATTGAGACAGAAAAGCTCGCCTATTGTCTAAAGTAAACAGGTATTTCCTTTGTCCTGGCGGGCAGCCACGTCTGGAGGATGGTACGAGGACGAGATTAGCAGAAGCAGTAGACGACTTACACGTTGTGGGCACAGGCCTGGGTATTTCTATTGGCATGTCCGGAGTGAGTGGGCAGATTTCGTGTCTGAGGCTTGCATCATCTTTGAGCATAAGGAAGCACTCGTTCCTGATAAAAGGTATGCCGAGTATCTTGCCGGGAGTGGGTCTGTCGGCGGGGTTTTTGCTGAGCATGGCGAAGTACAGATCTTTCAAGTCCTCCGAATACTGGGCAGGGAGCATGGGCGGTTTCCCATCCACAATACGAGTAACCAGAGATGTCATGTTGTTCGCCTCAAAGGGCACCTTTAAGGCGCATAACTCGTACAAAACACACCCAAGCGCCCAAATGTCCGACGCCCAAGAGTAAGGAAGGGACCGACAAATCTCCGGAGAAAGGTAATACGGTGTGCCAATTATCGTCTTGGCGAAGGAACCAGTCTTGTCCAAAGCCTTGGCAATTCCGAAGTCACCTAATCTAATTCGTCCGTTCGTGCTCAAAAAGATGTTTTGCGTCTTTACATCTACAGAATAGCCATACAAACAGACCGCCTGGACCCGGACCCCGGACCCGGTCCCCGGACCCCGGACCCCGGACCCGGTCCCCGCCCCGGACCCATACCACACCGCTCTTGCCCGAACCCGGTGGCTTACCTCTATGGAGGATGTGTTTGAGATGTAGGTGCTTGAGCGCCAGTACACACTGAATGATCCACCGCAGAACCTGCTTCTCCGGAAACCCCACAATGCCCCCTCTTAGTCGTCGCGCCTGTCGCCGCTTGAGCACTGCATTATTCAAGTCGCCGCCGTCCGCAAACTCTGTAATGATGCACAGGAACCCGTTCACCATAAACGACTCTTTGTACATTATAATGAATGGGTGCTTCATCTGCCCCAGTAACCGCACCTCGTTGATACTTTGCTCTCGCTGCTGCGGCTGCAGCCGAGTTATGTCTATTGCCTTCATAACACACTGCTGACCAGTCGCCACGTGCTCAACTAGAATCGCCTTTCCGTACGACCCCATACCTAAATCGCGGATTTTACGATAGCCACCAACCGACTTTGGACCGTCCAGAGAGTCCGAGAGAACCAAATCCGAGCATTGAATGCAGTCAGCCATTTAGCACACGTGTGTTATCCCTAATTTGCGCCCGCAAAACGATCGACGCTGCATACGGAACGTAGCCCTGTACCCAAGCTATGTAGAGCCAACATCTACACTACGTAAGATACACCTACTGGGGGTAGACATAAGCGCGCGCTAAGATTTCGCGCACGCGCAAATTTGAGCGCGCGCAAAATCTTAGCGCGCGCTAAAATCCCAGCGCGGCCTCATTTAGGCTCCATATATGCAATTCCGTGGCAATGAAAGGGCAATAGGGCAGTGGTCTGATCCCCAGACTTTGTCCCTGATGGTAACTAGGCCGGCGGCGTGGCTGATATCTTTGGAGGTTACGAAGGCATCAATTCGCCAGCCGAGGTTCGCTGCACGTTGTTGGGGTGCTCTTGCGGACCAGAAGGTGTATCTGCGTTGTAGCGGGTGTCTAATTCTCCAGATATCTTCAAATTCCTGTTTGTTGTAGAATTCTGTAAGGCTGTTTCGTTCTTGGATGGTATGTCCGCTGCTTTTCTGGTTGGATTTGGAGTTCCATATATCTATTTCTTCACGGGCGCAGTTGAGGTCTCCGCACCAGATGACAGGTCGTTGATATTTTGTGTGCAGAGAAGACAGCCACTGGTGCATATGTTTATCGTACAGATCAACACGTTCATCCAGTCGTCTCAGGTCTTGACCGGCGTTCATTACATAAGTTGCCACAAGTACAAGTCCCTTGAATACGATGCAGAGGGTACGCCCTTCATGATCGAATTTGCTATTATCACATCCCCGAATAACTTCTTCGACCGCACACGCAAGCTCTTCCTTTACCAACACTGCAACACCGGCATACCCGCGAGTGTCACTCAGCACATGGTAACTCTCGTATCCGTGAAATGCCCCCTTATCGAAATCTGTAACACTCGACTCACTCAACTTGGTCTCATTCAGACACACAATCTCCGGAGCCTCCACCAATAGATACGCACCCAGGTCGCCCAACCGACTCAACCCACTCTGGCTGTAGTTCTCTCGGTCAAACTCCAACTTGCCACTCCGGCACACAGCACGTAATCCGTTGACATTCCAAGAACTTATGAGCACGTGCCCCTCCGGCCGCGTCTCATCCTCTCGAATCTGCTTCATCCAACAACCTGACAACGAAGGACCCTTACCGTCCTCATGCGGGTTGTATTTAACACTCGTCTTAACACTCGTCTTAACACTCGTATTAACACTCGTCTTAACACTCGTCTTGTCACCCGTCTTAACACTCGTCTTAACACTCGTCTTAACACTCGTCTTGTCACCCGTCTTAACAGCCGTCCCACACACCACTTTGCCACCCTCCTCCATCTCGTGGCTCTCCTCTCCTCTCTCTTCTGTGATAAGAAACTTGCCCGCGGTGGTCCTAGATTTGCTTCTCACCGCCCTCACTTTCCTGTCCTTCTTCATCACAGACTTGGCCATGTCCCCCTTGGATCGCTCCCCCTTCGCCGAATCCACCTCTCTATTCGCCGATTCCTTCGCTGCAACCTTTTTCGTGACTTTCCCGCCCTTGCGGACTTTCGTCAATGTCATCCTAACTACCTAATATGCTAAAAAATGCCAGTTGCCCCGAATCCACCCATCAACGCTCCCACTACCACTCCCACCATCTCACTTACTCTACGCCCAGTTCTTCTGGATTAACGTTCGATGCGTCCACGACGAAGTCCCCGGCCAGGGGGTCGGATTCGATTTGCAGGTTGTATTTGTTCACCAAGAGCAGGGTGGTCAGGAACAGTCTGCACACGTCATGTCGTGGCGCATTTGTGCAGATGTCTGCGAACTTTACTTTCGTCTCAACCACCCTGCTGGTCTCCACGTCCTCGACTCGGCTGTTCTCCGGTGCAGCGTTCTTCGGGACCAAATTCTCGACCGCGGCCGCGCTCCCAGTCGCTGCCTTTTCACCGACGTCGGTGTTGACCGCGTCAATGGTGATCAGGTCACTGCCGTCAACGGTGCCGTCCAGGTCGGTGCTGTCTTGACCAGGTTGGTCGGCGGCCTGCAGAAGAAGGCGGCGTTGCGAGGCGTGTGCGACGGCTTCTTTAATCTTGTCGACATAGGTGGGTATGTGAAAGGGCGGTTCTTGTTCGGAAGCTTTGATCCAGAGGTCGACCTTACGTCTCCAGACGCCGATACGTTCATGCATGAGGTATAAAAGGTCTTTAGTGCGGCCTGTGCTTGGTGTGTGGGTGCGACTTGTATTCACTGTGTTCAGCAGCGACAAGGGCCCGACACTTTCGGCGTCGCTCGTGCTGCCACTGTGCAGGCCGAAGCCGGGCGTGTCCTCGCCCTCGCTTCCCACCAAGCCCTCTGCCGGGTCCTGGTCCTGTTCCATACCGTCTGGTTCCTTAACCGTGAGGTCCCGGGTTCGAAGCCTGGTCTTGGTCAAAGCGGCAAGTTCGGCCCCAATTTCAAAACCAAACAAATTGTCGGTCGTGCATGGCAACCGCACGTCCGTGAAGATAGGCAATCGCCCTCCACTACTCCGCAGCTCATCCCGCAAAGATCGAGACAATCCGAACGAACCACCCACCGCCAACAACAACGCCTCCGGAGATGCCAGGAATGGCTCCTTCGAAGCCACATCCCGCAGACTGTAACAGTAAATCTCCGTATTTACCGGCTGACAGGTCTTACCCAGACTCATCGGGGCGTCCTTACCCAGCACTTGATGCTCGTCCAGTAACTGCTCTACCGACTTGGCCTCCTTCTTCTTCCCTGCCGGCACGCGACCGTATATCTGGAGGCCGCCAGTCCCAGCACCGCCAGTCACAGCACCGCCGGCCACGACCCCCGCTCCCGGTACAGCAACCCCGAGACCGGTGTTTAGTGGAGCCGGTGTGGTCTGCCCACCGCCCAGCAAGTTCGTCCGAGACGTGCCTAAAGCAGCGACGGACGGAGAAGGCAATACGCCTTGGCTACCCGGCACCAACAGACCTTCTGCACCGGTCTGTGACGCGATCGAACCCCGAGGCCCGAAGGACATTAGACCTTGCTGCACAATCGTTCCAAACGTCCCGCCTGGCAACGGACTCAACTGCCATGGTCCTCCCCAAGCGCCTCGGGCGGGCTTGAACAATTGTCTTGACGGCGGCATCGCCAAGATTCCACGCAGATCATGCTGGGCATAACTTGTCTGAACAAAAACACTGTCCCTGGTTGTGTGCCCCCCGGTCGGGTGCATGGTCATGTGACTTCGTTGCGTGTAGTTACGTTATTCAATCGTTGAGCTTGCAGTATGGAAAAGGTCGACGACTTATCCACCAGTGAGGGGTGGATGGGTAGTCTTGACAGGAGGTAGACGGAGGGTCGATTGATTGTGTGTTTTTTGATGGTGGCAAGTTCTCGAACATTAGGGCACTGGGGGAAAGAAGTATTCTGGAGCCAGTGATCGAACCGTTGAGTCCGGGACGACTTGTCACGACCGGAAGTGCGGCCGTTCTGTTGACTGAGTGTGCTTGTGGTATTTTGATCGCGTTCCTGGGGAGCTTGTGATCCAGGGGACGCTTGTGATCCAGGGGACGCTTGTGATCCGGTCGAATGAGAAGTGACTTCTTTCGGGGAATCATCCGGAGAAGCGTGGCCCGACAGAGAATGTGTCCAGAAGTGCAGAGACACCTCCGCCTCGATGCAGTGTTTAGCGGGGTGTCCTGCGCTGAGTTTGGCCAGTGGCAGGTGCAGGAATTCAGGTCCATCCGGTAGGCCGGGTAGTTCCCACTCCGTCAGCAACGTCGTGGTCCGCGGTACCTGCTTCCTTTTACCCTTGCTCTGAACCGAGTGACCCGTAATCAGGTTCTGCAGGGTACTGTCCATCTGCTTCTTCAGAAAGTCTACTTTCCTGGAGAACACGCGCGTCGCCTCCATCACCACTGCGCTCGCGTGGTTGAAGTTGATGCCCTGGTAGCCCATCACCGTCGTCAAATCACCACGCCGCTCCTCCACATCCATCTCCTCGTCCGCGGGACCCTGCAACATACTCAGGTACCATGCCAGCTCCGCGGACACATCTATCTTCCACGAAGTCTCCGCATCTTTAGCCGGACGGAACAACTTAATGATCCTCCGAGTTTCCTCATCCAACTGCTCAGACATCCACTCTCAAAAAAACCCTACCCACTTCTTAGCGAACGGAGTTAGCGGCGAACGGAGTTAGCGAACGCGCTATGCTAAAACAAGCAAGCACACGCGTGTGCGGGGGTGTTAAATTAGGCGCTAAGTTTTGCAATGAGTGCTTCATCTTTGGCGGATGTGGCTTCCGTAGCTGCAGGAGCTTCGGCAATGGTGACGTCAGGGTTGGCGTCTTGATTGGTTCTAAGAGAAGTATCAGCAGTTTTTTCCGTTGGTGCTTTAGGTGCTTTTGAGGGTTGTTTTTTAGCACTGGCAGCTTTCCGTTTGGCTTCTCTGGCTGCCTTATCTTCAATGTCTTTAACAATGGCTTGGAGTTCACGTGCGAGTCTAAGAGGGAGACTAAGATAGGAGTGTGGTGCGAGTTTTTTGATGGACTCGGCGTCTTCTCCATAAAAGGCAGCGACGTCTTCGAAGGCGGCTTTTGCGTCTGCGAGCAGTTTGGTGAGTTTCTGGATTTGTTCATTGGCTGCTTTAACGAAAGGGACCAATGTGTGGTCGATAATAGGATCTGTTGGCGCGAGTTTTTCTACTTGATTAGTAGTCGCTTTGAGCTGGCCTTGGAAGGACTGAATACGTTGTTCGACACCAGTGAGATCGACTTTGCTGCCAGGGATGAGAGGCACAAGTTCCTGCATGATATCCAAGTCGTCTCGTGCGGGGCTGTCGTGGATGATGCCAACCATGTATTGCAATAAATTCCGCACGGGCTTGGTGGTTGTTTTGTACTCATTCAATTTTGGAATGGTCGTCAGCTTGATACCACCAACATTCGTCTCATTCACCACGTTTCCGATGCGGGTGACGAGGAAAAGGAAGCGTGGCAGCTTTTTGCAAGCGCGGAGTGTCTCGCTAGCAGTCTTCGATTTCTCCACCGACTCAATCAATTCGTCCAGCTCCTTCCCAAATCCCAGGGCGAACCGGTGCGCTGTTAGCTTTGGTGCGTAGTTCGGAATATCCTTCATAGCGTACACGAATTGCTCGGTAGTATCGCAATCTGTGATCTGTCCGCCGGAGTCGACAAATGCGTTAACGGCGGCGATTTCCTCCGGCTTCGGCTGGTATTCGAGCAGTGTGGAACAAACGTCCGCGTCAAGCACATCTCCGTCTAAAATTTCGACGGCGTGTTTCAGCGCCGGGAAACCCATTTTGATGATACGTGCGATAGCAATGCTCATAGTGTAGGCCCGTTTGGCATCAGGTAGCACCTTGATTACCTGTTTCTTCTTCGCCTTAGCCTTGCCTTCTTCTTCCTCACCTTCTTTCTTCTTCACATCCAGACTGAAGTCCAATTCAATCTGGTTCGGGTCGACTTCGACGGGTAATTTTCTCAATTCGGGGAACTGCGTGCCCTCGTCCGTGTCGAGTGCGTCCCAGGGCATCTTACGCAGTCGTTTGCCGCCAGCGGCTCCGGCGACCGGTGCCTTCTTCTTTGGTGGCGGTCCCTTTTTGCCTGGCGCGCCCTTTCCAGGGGGACCCTTTTTTCCCCCTGGTGGTGGTGGCGTTTTTTTGCCTCCCGGTGGTGGTGGTGCCTTCTTCGGCGCCACTGGCGCCACTGCCGCTGCCCCGCCGGCCCCTGGCCCGCCACCAGCCCCTGGACCGCCTCCTGGTCCCGGTCCACCACCCGGTCCCGCCACACCACCCCCCTCGCCCTCCGGCCGTTCCGCACCCTCCGTCAATACTGTGCCTTCCGGAACCGCCACCATCACCACATTGCCGTCTTGTGGAGCCAACGCCGTTACACGTTCATTCGCACGCAGAATCTCCGCCACCGTCACCTCGCCGCGCTCCACCGCCTCTCGCAACTCCTTCAACTTCTGCACACGACGCGCCATCCGACGGGCACGTCGACCGCCGACAGCACCGCCGGCAGCACCAACTCCGAATGCAGCACCCGCAGCCCCTCCTCCGGCCCCCGCAGCCGCACCGTAAGGGTCAGCCTCGACAGCACCACCCAGAAACCCATTCAACGCGTCCATCGAGATGGCACTAATGTCGCCCGTTGCTCCCGTCATGCCACCTCCGAACGCCGCCAGTGCGTTGCTCACCGCATCGTACGACCCCGCACCAAGGCTCCCACTCGACCCTGCCGAACCGAACCCTGCCCCTCCGCCACCACCACCGCCGCCGCCACCGAACCCCACCGTGCTCCCGATTCCGAACTGACTGAACACTCCGGAGCCCAAGAAGTCCGGCTGGAAGCGCGCCGCTGCCGCCGCGGGGGCATCCCCGCCGCCGCCTTCATACTCGGCACCGTAGCTCTCAGCGCCGTAGCCTTCACCGGGACCGCCTCCAGGACCGCCTCCTGGACCACCTCCAGGACCGCCTCCTGGACCACCTCCAGGACCCCCACCGGGACCCGCAGTTTCGACCCCGGCTTGGCCCATGAGTCGCTGGACTAGGGCGTTGCTGTCTTCCGTCTGCGTTTGTGCAATGAGCATGTTCAGATATGCGCCGGGGTCCATGCCAAAGTCCGGTGGCATAGCGCCACCGGGCATGCCGCCCTCCCCGTAACCACCTCCATAGCCACCGCCGGCGCCATAGCCCTGGTCGTAGCCTCCTGCCCCGTAGCCACCGCCGGCGCCTCCATAAGCACCGCCTCCATCTCCGCCAGCCCCGGCGCCGCCAAAGTCGAAGCCGAGAGATTTGAACTGGGCCATGTTGAATTTGACGCCTCGGTTGCCAAGCGCATTGCCCATGACATTCAAACTCCGAGCACCGCCCGGCTTCGCTCCGCCACGGGCCGCCGGTCCGCGTCGACCCGCGCCAGATCGCATCAGTCCGCCTGCTCCGCCAACCAACTTGCCGCGTGCAACCATCGCTCGCACTAACCGTCGCTCCTGGTACGCCGCCAGACCCTCCAGCTTGTCCGGGAGGGGCTGGTCTAGAGGCTCGGACTTCTCCAGAGGTTCGAACTTCTCCGGAGGTTCGAACTTCTCCGGAGGTCCGTTACTAGACCGGTCGGGAAGAGGTGGGGGCCGTGCGAGGCCGGATCCGCCAATGGAGCGTGAATGGAGCAGTCGTTGCGGGTCAAAAACTCCAACCGCGAAGTCATCGTTGTAGTCCGTGGCCACGGGACCGGTAGCCCTGGCCGACACTCCTGTCTTTTTGCCGAATGCCTTCATTTTAGGCGGACCCTTCATCGCCGGCAAACCCTTCATCCCGGGCGGTCCTGGGGTCTTGGTCCCTGGTAATGATTTGGCCTTCAGTCCTTTAAGAGGTACTTTGCCGGCGGCGGTTTTTTTGAACACGGGTTTCCCCACCGCCTTGAATTGCGGACCCGGTTTGGCTGTCTTAGGGGCCTTGCCGAAGTCCTTCTTGCGCGGACCGCCCTTAAGTTGTTGTGCCTTATGGATAGCGGCACGGGCGTGCTCGGTCTTCTTCGATTCGCGAGCCTCGAGACCGAATGTGGGTCCCCAACTACGATCCAGGTCGCGTTCCTTGTACTTGAAGTGCTTGGTCAGTTGCTTCCCGCCCCCCAACTTTCCCGCCTCCTTGCCTCCGTCGCCGGAGCTTCGAGCGGCTTGCGAAAGATTCGAACCAGTGTCTTGCGAACTCGGGAGCACTTTTGCGAGTGTACTACCGCCCCCTTTACTGGCCACTGGAGGCGGCGACTTCGGAGTCATTTTTGACAGCGCCGATGCCTGTACCGCGGATTGCCCCGACGATTGCCTCCTTAGTCCCTCGTCGGACGCGCTGTCGACCTTCCGGATAAGCGAGACGATGTCGTCCTGCGTGATCAACTCCGTACCCTTCGGCAATACGTCCAGAACTGGTGGTCCACCACCCGGTCTCATCCCCCCATCCAGCTTCGTACGGCCGTCCGATGCCTGGCCGTCCAAGGCCTGGCGGTCTAGTCTCTTGTCATCTGTTGTTTCCCTTCCTGGTGTACTACGGTCTCCGGTAGCGGGGTCAATTCCGCCCTCTGTCGCCTGTCCGTCGGTCGCGTGTCCGTCGGTCGCGTGTCCGTCGGTCGCGTGTCCGTCGGTCGCGTGTCCATCGGTCGCCTGTCCGTCGGTCTGGAACGTGACCCTGGTTCCTCCGGCTGATGTGTCGTTGAGTTCGTCTGCCGGCTTCTTTCTTCGACGTCCGGGAGCGCCCTTAGCTGCGTGTTTACTGAGAGTGGCAAGACTGCCGATCAAAGGTGCCGCAGCTGGTGCCTTGGCGATGGGTCGTATGACTGTTGCAGTCTTGGTGTCAATCAATTCCTGTAAATTGTATGCGCCATTTAGAATCCCTTTTGAGGAAGCAGGCGGGACGGGAAAATATTCCTTTTCTGTGGCGACTGCACTGCGTCCTCCTGGCAGATCTTTGATGGGATCATATTCAAGAACCTCTGTGATGTCGTAAGTGCGGTATGTGCGGTCCTCCTCCGGTCGTAGTGATCGGTACCGCTGGATAGTCGATAGCGCTACCACATCCGCCTTCACGAACGGATCGTAACCCATGTATGAACCCCCGAGATAACCACCGGCGTTGTCACCCGCACCACCCATCCCATATCCCGCAAACCCGGACCGACGGAACGGGTAGAACACACCTCCGCGCCATGTCTTTCGACCCTGTGGTAACACACGATTGTGACTGTGCTCACTCGCATTAAAAAACGGCGAATGAAAACACGGACTCAATCCCCAACACGAACAGTGATGCTCCGCGGATAATGCAAAGAACGGCAACGTACTCAAACCCAACAGGTCTTCGCTCTCGTGGATTATCTTCTTGTCCAGAGAACGACTCTTCAGACTACCCTCCGCCGGAGTCACCATTATCGCTGCAGCCTTCATTCCGTCACTCCAATATCTCCGACCACTTCAACTCCAATATCTCCGACCACTTCAACTCCAATATCTCCGACCACTTCAACTTGTATCCCAGCCTCAACTTGGTAACGTGTGCGTGCCTACTTACGTGCTTACATGCGTGCATCCATGGCCGCACACCCACCGAAGTTTACCCACGGTTGTGCCCGCCGTCGCATCCGCCGCTGAGACACCCATCCAAGCCCTACCCGGCGAACCGCAACCCCAGGGAATCTCATCGTGACTCCAATCAGACGCTGCTCGCATGCACCATCGTACCCCGTTTGAGTCCCACCCGGCGTGAGAGCCACCCCCTTATTGGTCACACCCCCAACACGGCCCCAGCACAGGTGGTCCACCGCAGGTGGTCCAGCACAGGTAGTCCACCGCAGGTAGTCCAGTACCAACACCGATTGTGGTCCAGCATAGGCGCTCCAGCACAAATGTCCCAATATAGGTGGTTCCAGCACGAGGCCCCGGGTTCAATTCCCAGCTCAGGTTTCGTTCGCTAAAAAGGGCGTCCCGGGTTGCGTCCGCCCGGCCGTAGGTTACGAGGTGAGTCGAGGCTTGAACGCGACGTGGGCGTCCGATACCAGCACCCGGTAGTCGCCGTTCGCTCCCGCGGCCAGGCTTGGATTCATCAAGTGCTCCTCCAAATCAATTTTGTCATTGCTTGCATTGTCACTCGTGGCGCACGAGATGGAGTCCATCATATCTGCGCATACGTCCATCATGGCGTCGTCATGCATCAAGGAGTGTGACCACCATGTTGTGTGTCCACCACGTTGTGGTGTGTGCCTCGTGTCATGCAGTGTCCATCATGTCATGCAGTGTCCATCACGTCGTGCACTGGTCTAATGGCGGTTACGTGTTTTGTATCGTCTGGTGCGTCGCATGTGCACATTGTCATTGAGCGTGGCCAAGTGGTGTACACACACGGGCGTCGGACGCGGTCGGCACTTGGCGTAAAGGACGAAGAACATGAGGGCGAAGGTCACGGCGACGGAGTAGACCTTCCACCAGTTGCGCGTCGCGTCGTCACTGCCTAGTACTTGGTCTTCGTCCACACCGCGCGCAAAGTCGTTTAAGTAAAACGCGAGCGAGAAACCAGCCTGGGCGATCCGAGCCTCCGTGACGCGTCGCACCAGCTGCAAGTATTCTAGGTCCACCGCTACAGCCGGTGTGCGTGTCTCCCCCACTAAGGGCTCGTCGTCCCTGCTATCACCTTCATCCAAATCCCGCGTCATCTTCGTTCCATTGTCCCCGAGATCGGGTCCGGTTGTGAAGTCGGCCGAGTCGGTGCACACGTGTTCGATGACACCTCCGTACACAGCGGATGCAAGTTCATAACTTTCCCGGATAACGTTCGCGTAGGTCTCGTGCGTGACGTTGGGGTTACGCACCATGATTGCTCGCGCGACTTCGTTGCTATCAGTCACAGGAAAGTCCGGGTACGAGCGACCGAAACGGAGACCGCCCGAGTCCCACAAGGCGTGCAGCGAGAGGAAGACAGCGCCCTCCGTCCGGACTACGTGTGGGTGCGTCCATGCTGTGGGAGAGTAGATCTGAGTGTCTGCCCGAGACGACAGGTGGTCTGCCCGAGACGACAGGTGGTCTGCCCGAGACGACAGACGGCTTGTTCGGAAGTGGAATCCGGCGTCGGTTGAGACATCGCTCTTGGCGTCGACTTGGTCGAGGATATCTTGGGCGATTTTGACTTGTATAAGGTTGCCGCCACGGTCGGTGTTCGGGAAGCAGTCCGGCGCAATGTAGGTCATGCTGTGCAGTGGCTGGTGTATGTCTCCGAAGATGTGTAGGAACAGCCGCAGCAATAGGTTGATTGAAAAGTACGAGCTCACGTACTTGCTCGCCAGGCTTTCTGTCACCGTCTTGAGCAGATATGCCGCGTTATCCTTCCGCTGCAATGCCGACTTAACGTGCCGATCCATCTCCGCCTCGTCCATACCCATCGCGTAATAAATGTCCACGAAGTGGTTCTCGTTGAAGATCTGGATCCCATCGTAGTGCTCCGAAGCCCCCGAACAGAACTCAGAATGGAACCTGCACTTTATATGGTCAGCCCAAACCGCAGCCGAGACCAAGTCCGTGTACTCTACATCAAAGGGGGGGGATCGAAAGCGGGGGGGGGATCGAAGGCGAAAGGAGGGGGGGTTGTACAGGAGGAAGGGGAGAGAGGAGGAGGGAGAGGAGAAGGGGTTACGGGGGAAGTCATTGTGCCATTTATTGAATACGCTGTCCAATGCTCGGACAACTCTGCTCCCTTCTGCTGCCGTCCAAGGTACGAGGTCGGTCGGTTCCGTAAGCCAGTTGCGAGCCACGCTGGCTATCAACATGTGCCCCTGCGGAACGCGCTTTCGACTGGAATCATGGAGCCCTAGCACGACTGTTCCCACCTGACTGGCTGGTTCCAGACAGGACCCTGCACACGCGCGCGAGAGTGTACCCGTCCGTGTTTCCCGACCGGAGTGTGGCGGTTACTTCATCCCACCAGGCAGCAACCAGGTAGGGCAGCAGGAGAAGCATTTTCTTTGGTGAGTTGTTAATCAAAAAGGTTACAAAGTGTCCACGGCTCTGGTGCAAGAGCATCCGGCGAAAGCAAATTCGTTTGCTCAGTGCCAAGTCGAGACTGCACCTTCGTCCTTCAGTTTAATCGAAGAGGCTGAAGTTCATGTCCTCGGACTCCTCGTCGGACTCTTCCTTCTTCTCCTCGGCAGCGGGAGCGGCCTCAGCAGCACCAGCAGCCGCGGCAGGGGCACCAGCAGCACCACCAGCGGGGACAGAGGCGAGCTTGGAAGAGCCTTCAGTGATGGCTGCTTCAACGCCCATTTCGCCAATCTTCTCAAGGAAAGGAGCTGCGTCCTCCGCGACGTACTCGGCCGCAGCTGCCTCGCAAATGGCCTTCACGTTGGACTCAGACACGTCCTTACCGGCGTAGTGGCACAACAAAGCAGCGGCTACGTACTTGACCATTTTATCTCACTCCTCACAAACTACCTCCGAATTTTTTTCGCCTCAGCGAGACAAAACACCTACCGCCCCTTACCTTTATCCCGCACTGTCAGGAACCGCTGCGTGAAGTAACCCTGTGTGTACTCGCGTAACTCTGCACATATGTTCTGTCACCCACGGGAAATTTTCACCCGACCTTCTCTCCAACCTTCTCTCCAAGTCTGTGGACCTCGCGAAGGAGCTGCTGCGTCAAGGATGCTGCGTCGTAGCAACTCAGACGGCTGCCCTTTGCCCATGTTGACAACTCCAAGCTGGTGGATTTAGCCGAACTTGGCAGCCCGAAGTCAGCCGAAGTTGTTAGGATATATTCGGGGGTCGCTGCTTACTTTCTTGCAGACGAAATAGGTCCGCCTGCCTGGCTGCCCACTTCCCGTCGGGCTGAAAGTACATCTCGGCCTCATGCAGCTTGACAGCACACGCAGAACCCAGTATGAAAGCGAGCCGCATTTTCTTGCACACACGCGTGTGCAAGTCAGTATACTCCCCGCGCTTCTCCCATTCTTGTGCCCCTAACAACCGTGTCCTCTCTTCCTCACCCACGGTGCTCCACGCGTGCCCAATTGCGCCGACAAAGCCAGCGCATGTGTCAGTCAACGTGCGTCCATTGTCACGAGGCTGGGTCGGGCCACGTTTTTAAATCATCATGGGCAATACCTTGGCCACGTGCTGTGGCAGTGGACCAGAAGATCGTAACGAATTCAAAACAGAAAAAGCACCTGCTGGATATAGTAAACGGACTTCTGTCGACGACCTGGTAGGTCAACACTACGCCACTCCAATCGCCCTCGAGACAATCGCCTCGAGATTGACCAAGGGCTGCGTCCCGACCAGGATCCTACCACGACTTTGGACCTACGCACTATCCAGGACCCACAACCTTATCACGACCAAGGACCCGACCAAGGGCCCTACCACGACCTTGCCCCGATACATTGTGCTGCTTCGTGCCTGCTAATTGGTCCTTTTGTGTAGTTCGCGAAAGAGCTGGAAAACGGAGTGCAAGTCCGAATCACTTTAGGAGATTTCTCTCGTTTGCCTTGCGACCTACACTGGTCGGAGCGGGAGCGGTCTTTGTATATAGCGTGTACGATTAACGGAGAAAGGCGGGTGCGGAAGTTGCCGTTGGGCAGCATCGAGGATTTGTTGTATAAAGAGGGGGACATTAGTTCGTTGGAAGCCGCCGCAGGCATCAAGCCGAAGGACGAGTGCGTGGCTCTGTGTCTTGAGGAAGGAGGGGGTGGCTGTCTTCCTTTGTTTTTCAACGACGCGCCTACGAAGCAGCGCTTCATCGAGTTCTTCCTGTCTAGGGCAGGAGGCCAGTAGGCAGTCGGCCAACCGGACAGCTGGGGCGCGGCTGGGGTGGAATGGCAATAAAAAGGAACCAGGAGCGCCAACAAGGGGGATTAGTAGAGCCCCAGCGACTAAGCGGGCAGCCCGGAGGCTAAAATGGCCTGCCTCAATTCCATATCCGGCTCGCTGGCGCACGGGGACGGAGTGCCGTTGGTCGAATTTTGGGCGCACACGCGTGTGCGCGCGCAATTATCCGGCGCAATTATCGCCGAATTTACGCGGGATTGTAGATGTCAATGAGACTGAAGCGGCGGTCGAGATCGAACGGCACTGTGCTGGACATGTTCACCGTCTGCGTCAATTTTTTGTCCCTCATGAGCTTCAACATTGAATTAACAAGTGAGGCGCAGGAATGACCGAAGGGCGATTTTCGGAGGCTAGCTAGGAATGCCATGGACATGGCACCGCCGGCCACCTTGCGGTCTTTCTTGGCGTCGAGGAGCGTGATATCGGCGGCGGACTCGCCATGGGAACAGGAGGCATACAGAGTGACATCTTTGCCCACATCCACGTCGTACAGTTTGCGCCAGCAGTGGCTGTGCCGGTCATAGTGGTAGGGCAGCACCAGGCCCGCGCCGCTATGGCAGCTGTCGAGTACGACGATCAATCGGACCCCTTTAGGCAGCTTGTCAATCAGCAATCGGCGCAACTCAGTGGCCGTGATAGCCCCGTTTTCTCGGTGGTCCAAAGGCAGCAACGGCCGACATTCGTGCCGCTTCGTCTGCGGCAACCCGTGACCTGCATAGTAAAACACCAACGCGTCCCCGGCCCGTGACTCCTCAATCAACCACTCACATCCCGATACAATTTCCGCACGCGTTGGCACCCCACTAAAGTCCGACTCCGCAATGCCGTCCAAGTCCCGCCCTGCCCCTTCTCGAATGTTTACCCGTCCTGCCCCGTTCCCAGACCGCCTATCTCGGGACCGGGACGAATGTTGGTCCCGGGAAGACCCACCATCCCGCGAAGATCGGCCGTCCCGAGACCGGCTACAGGAACGACTGACCGATGCTTCCCGCGCTGCATGGTGCTCTGAACCCTGTCCCTTGACGCCCTGTGCATTGACGCCCTGTGCATTGGCGTCCTGTGCACGGCTATGGTCTGAGGTCGTCCGAGGCGAAGCCGTCAGGCCCGCAGCCGCCAGGGCCGCGGCCAATGGAGCCATGGTCATGGGGGACGAGTTCTCGCCGTAGTCCGAAGGGAAAGGAAAGGGGCGTTCCCAGCCGGTGGCGGACCCCGGAAGGGATTCGGTAGCGGAGGCGAGTGCTTGGAAGGCTGCGGCTCTGGGCCCAGCCGCGCTGGAGGCAGAGCCTTCTCCCTCGCGGTAGCTGGTCAAAAACGCTCCTCCGCCGCCGCCGGGCCGACGGCAGGGGTGACCCAGAGGACGGCCTGAGAAGAAGCCCGAGCCTTTGCGCTGAGCTAGGAGCTGTCGGTACTCTTCGGCGATGGGGTAAGGGTCTTCCCCGAGTCCGGTCCCGGCTCCGAGTCCAAGTCCGAGCCCGGCTCCGAGTCCGAGGTCGCCTTGGTCACGAGGGTCTTGTTGGTCGCTAGGTTGGCGGCTATCGGTGAGGACCTTGACTTTCTGGAAGCCGTAGATGTGTTTGAGAAACTCGCTGAGGCGGCGGACATCGTGGGAAGGTCCTGCTAGTTCCTCGACCTGGTTTCCGTGGTAGGTGCAAGCAATGAGGAGAGCGTGGAGGCGTCCTGTGACGGGAAGACGGACCCAGCGGTTGCGGTAGTCGAGTTCGGTGCCGCCGGCGGAATCTTCGGTGGCTTTGTAGAAGGCGGAAACGGTCGCATCTTGGTTGAGTGAGGGTCCCAGAAACATTTTGGGGTCGCGGATCATGTCGACGCGTTTCGTCAGCAAGATGTCAATCAGGTAGGCCACCGCCGTTTCGAGGTTGCCCCGCGACCAGCGCAGGGCCAGGCAAGCTTCGCCCATGTTTGCTTGCGGTACCATGGTCAGCAACCGCGTCACGTCGTCCAGCGACGGCGAGCTGTCGTCCCGGGCAACCTGCACACGTGTGTGCGGCACTTGCACACGCGTGTGCGCCGGCAGAGGGGACTCCCCTTGGTCCGGCAGCCGGTCTGGCAAGGGGTCTGGCAACTGGGAGACGTGCAGGTCGTGGGCAGTGGGAGCGGGACGAGACTCGGGCGCGGTGTCCTCGCTCCGGAGCACGCGCGTAGGGGTGCGCGTCAGAGGCGTCTGCAACGACTTGGTTGTCGCCGCTGAGCTCACGGAGGCCAACTGCGGCGAGTTAGAGTCGCTATTCGCCACCGCCTTACGGCAACACGCCCACCCGTTTTTCCGCATCTTTTGGGACCTTGACGATCCTACACCTTCGCACGCACACACGCCGACCCGACGCGCACTCGACCCAGTTTCGGGCCGGTAATGATGTCCAACTGATTTGCCACATCTAACACCATGTAATGTGTAACTGCCACATCTAATGTGCCATTGCGTATTTCACGTATGTGGCATTTCTTTAGTACCATCCCCGTTCTAGTGTTCACCCGCCGGGTGGGGGGGGTATTTTTAATTTGGTTACATGGATGCAGGAGGCGGTGGTTTGGACTCGGGATTGAGCTTTGGGTCTGTGTCTGAGCTAGATGTGCGGTTAGGTCGGCAGTTGGAGTATTTGGGTTTCAAGACGATGACTGTGATACAGGCGAAGTCGATCCCAGAATTGCTTTCGGGGAGTGAAGATGTATTGTTACGGAGTCAGACAGGTAGTGGGAAGACGTTGGCCTTTCTGGTGCCGGCATTGCATCGTATAGTTGTAGCGGAGAGTGCCAAGCGTAAGGCCTTGCAGGATGCTGGGTTGTTAACGGCGGGCGACCTGAAGACGGTAGTGTTAGATAGAACGAGTGGGACACGCGTGTTGGTTTTAGGTCCCACGCGTGAATTGGTCACGCAGACGTATGAGGTGGCCAAGAAATTACTGCAACCCTTTTACTGGATGACCACCAGCACACTCGTGTGCGGCACGAAAAAGAAGGGCGAAAAGGCAGCACTTCGGAAGGGTGTCACCGTCCTGTGTGCCACACCCGGCCGTATCCTCGACCACATGAATACAACGAACGCGTTTAAGCTCGACAAAGTTTCTTCTATCGTCATCGACGAAGCCGACAGACTCCTCGACGCAGGCTTCGAATCCAAACTGAAGAAACTCACTGCCGACATCCGTGACGCCCGCGACAACGCCACGCACTTCAGACCTGGTATTCCACCGTCCCCGGCACCTGGGATTTCAGCGACTGGAATTTCGGCGAAGAACCGTAAAGCGGCAAGAGGCCGGGATGAAGAAATGATTGTCGACCTAGAGGCTGTCGACCACACGGTCTTGAGTCGGTTTGACGACGACGAGGACTCCGACGAGGGTGACGGGACCGCGGCGGTGCCGCAGACAGCCAAGGCAGAGTGGAATGTTTACGAAACCGCCCTCAGCCTGCAGACGGTCATGGTTAGCGCGACCTTGACGGAGCGCGTGGAGAAGCTGGCCAACTTCTGTCTCCGCAAAGGCTATAGATGGATCACCGATGACACCAAGGTGCCTTCCGCCAAATTTCGGACCGCTCTCGGTGGAGACGAGGTTGAGGACGAAAACCAAGCGAGCGACGCTGCCGGTGGCGCTGACGTGGCGGAGTGGTCGATGCCGAAGACGTTGAAGCAGTCTGCGGTGGTGGTAGAGAACATGAAGAAGCGTGTGCTCACATTGTTGGGACTGTTGTTGGTACGACAGGACATTGCGGGTAGTCGAACGTTGGTCTTCGTGGACACGTGTGAGGTGGCGGAGTATCTGTTTAATGTGGTCGCGGATCTGAAATGGCCTACATTGCCGGACGACAAGACACCGCGTGCAGTGAAGGAGCGTGCGGAAAAAGAGTTGAAGGAGACGAGCAGTAAGGTGAAGCGTGCTTTGGATGTGAACGACATATTATTTGGTGAGGATGATGACCAGGCTGAGCTGTTGCAAAAATCAGATAGATCTTTCCTCTGGTCGGATGAGCCCGTGTTTGGCAAACTCAGATCATTCCGGTTGCATGGTTCGATGGATAAAGACGACCGGACGGGTACGTTGGCAGATTTTGTCAGCAGTAAGCCGAGTAGTCAAGTTCTCTTTGTGACGGACGTGGCAGCGCGAGGTCTAAATTTCCCTGAGGTCGACCTGGTTGTGCAGTTCGATGTGGCTTGTGAGTTGTGCGACTATGTGCACCGTGTGGGCCGTACAGCTCGCATGGGCAGACCAGGCACGAGTGTGCTTTTCCTCAACGAACATGAGAAAGGTTTCCTCAATCTACTGCGACAAAAAGGTGTGGCAAAGGAAATACAAATCACCCACCAAGACCACATACTCAAGACCCTCCGACCCAACGACCGACTGGCCAAGACACCACCACATCTGGCCTCTCTACGGCCCGCAGATGCCGCCTCCTTCATCCTCTCACGCTTCACCGCCTACGTCGAAGCTAATCCCGTCCTTTGTACGCTAGCCTCCCGCGCTTACTTCGCTACCGTCAAAAACTATCGTACATATGCCAAAGAACTACGCACGTACTTCGATGCCAATCAATTACATCTAGGACGACTTGCCGGTGGCTTCATGCTGAGACAAAGCCCTTTCGAACTCAGCAAAAAAGAGGAACGACCACCTACCGGCAGAGGCGGCTTTGGCTCCAGAGATACGTACTCCAGAGATGCTGGCACCGGAGGCGGCTTCGGCTCCAGAGGAACTGGCTCCAGAGGAACAGGCTCCAGAGGAACAGGCTCCAGAGGCACTGGCTCGAGAGGCAGAGGGGCTAGTCGTGGCGGCGGTCGCGGCGGTCGAGACAGCGGCCGTGGCCGTGGAGGAAGTTCCTTCTCGAAGCGCGGTCGCGGTGATCGGTACGGCACTACGAGTAAGGACTTCGCTGCTCGTCGAGTCATGAAGAAACAAAAGGTGAGCGCAGCTTAACTTTTTGAGTACGACCAGACTTCAATGACTCCACGGCTTGCGCGCGGCTTTTGATCTTGTGTCCCTCTACGGCTTGTGTCTCTCCAACATGTGTTGGACATGTGTTCTCTAGGTGGTTCGGGGCGTGGGGGTTGGTCAAGGGGTTGTTTTGTGTCGTTGGGTGCGTTTGCGAACAAGGTGCAATAATAAATTCGGGAATGGGTACCTGGTCAGACTTCGGCCGGCGGGTGCACGGTCATTACTTGGGGTGGACATGGCTGATTCTGGAGATACTTGCTCGCGTGGCTCTGGCTGTGATGTTTATCCTAATCCGGCTCATCCACCCTCGGTTGCGGATGGTCTGGGCTTCTCAGGCGTACCAGTACGCTTACCCACATAAGGAGGACATGATCAGCACCAAGATGATGGCTGTCTACTTTGTCATCTCCATCGTACTGATTCCACCACCACTTCTGGCACTTAAGTTTCTCAAGCACTGGAACACGCGCCAAATTTGCGACGATGTACTAATCTTCTTCCTCGGTTTCTCCGCCGCCGTGCTCCTCACCCTGTCATGGGTCGAACTTGGCAAACGTACCATTAGTCGCTATCGCCCCGACTTCCTCTCCCGCTGCACTGGACTCACCGACCCCAAATTGCTCAGCGATCTCGTCAACGCCATGACTGTAAGTCCCCCCCCCCCCCC